TAAATAACCTACAAATGTCAATAAGCCATAAGAAAATGAATCAACCCAACATTTTCTCTACCTGTTTGCGCAAACACATTTTCTGTATCTGCTTCCGCACACACACACAAGGTCTGGCTGCCTATGTGTGCAACCCCAACCCTCGCCTGCTCTCTCACACACGTACACAGGTTGAATGAAATAGAATGATGGTCCCCAAGAAATAGCTTACCCTGCAGAAAATAACAGCTTGCCCGATGGATATAGAACCATAGATATTGGACAGAGCCTCAAATTTGTCATCCTGGTTACGGCACTCAATGTAAAATTGCTTTATATTATCTAAAGATTCCTCTTCCCGTCGCAATCGAATCGTAACAGGGTCAGGTATGATGTCTTGGGCAAACTTCATTACATCATCATCATAAGTGGCTGAGAAAAGCAACATCTGACAATTCCTTAAATGCCTGAGTGAGAGAAAGAAAATAAAAAAGCAACAAAAATGTTATTTTATACACTGAACAAAGATCAAGAAGAAAATTCAGCTCCAATTGTGCAATTGATGATTCCAAATCAAAATTATGTATCCCAAAGTAAAATTTTATTTCCAATATATCAAAAAACCTTTAATACATAGGGATCTTGTCAAACCATAAAAAAATGGTACCAAATTTATCTTAGTAGCTAAATCAGCAATAAAGTTATGACCATTCTAAGTTCATAAATAAAGGTTTTCTTTTTAGGAGCTATTGGATAAAAACCCAATTTGAAGTGAGGATGTAGGCTTCACACAAGTCTTGAAGTAAAAAAGATAATGCTAATGGAACCAATCAAATCTTATGGTTCATCAAATAATAAACGAATAATTCATCAAATAAAAAAAAAAAAATCATCTTTCAGACTGAAAAGAGATCCATTTGCCAAGGGTTCAGTTCTTACCTCTGTATTCTAATTGACTGGTCTTTGTGGCCTTGTGTAGCTATCATCACATCAGCTTCATCTAAAACAAACACAGAGATTTTTCTCAAGTCGAAACCTTTGAATTTTAAGCCAATGTCCAAAGCCGTGCCTGGAGTACCAATCACAATTTGTTCTGTAAATACCTTTTCTGTAAAGAGACGCAAAATAAAATTAAAATTTACTAATGAAAAAAAAAAATAATGTCTTCAATCATCAAATATTTGTTGAAGACAAAAAAAAAAAAAAAAAAAAAAAAAAAAAGAAAATCATTCAAAAAGTATTTTTTACAATTAAAAATATTTTTTTTTTTTTACTAACCTCAATGGGTTATTTAATGGCAACGAGATTTCTACAGCTGGTAATATTTTTTCTTCAAAAATGTATTGCTGGTATTAAAACCTATTTTTACACTTTCATAGTGTTCTGACCCCAGTTTGGGGGGTTAACTACTTGCCCATAGCTGGGACCCTAACAGGTGCTACCAACCCGTGTCAGGGTGGACCTGGAAACGCCAGCAATTAAGAGGTGGTTCTACGCTCATCAAAACCTCTTGATCAGAGGCCCTGCTGCTGGACGTAGTTTATCGTCATACCTAGGACGCATTGAAGTCTTGAGTTATACTTAATTATTAACGGCCACCATACGTCACAAAACCTCATAACCTTCACTTCCTTTTACTTTAATATCACACAACTTATACAGTAACCCCCTACCTTGAGTGGTTCTTGAGCCTTGCATTGGGTGAAATTTAGTTTTATAAATAAAATACAAATGGAAAATCATAATAAAACTATCAGCTACAGCTGGAGAAGACGTTGACGGTGCTGTTTGAATGGAGGGTTGCTAACAATTACATGACAATGGTTTTGGCCAAGCAGCGTAACAGGCCCACAGACATGTAGTTGGTCATGCAAAGTTTATGCATAAAGTGCACCAAAACATTTTTTTACACAATTTAATGTGCATCATAAAGGTGAAAAGTTTGTGAACCACTGCACTAGATTGCATAATTCACCAATCAAAGGATAAGGGGGAAAAAATAAATAAATAAATAAACTTACGACCTACTTGATAGACAAATCAGGCAAGGTTTGGCTTACCTCGATCAATGCCCCGGACGGCATAACCAATGGAAATTTTAGCCATATACTTGGCCATTTTTTCTGCAACTTCACCAATCTGCAGGGCAAGTTCATAGGTTGGGGCTAGACATAAGCACTGTAAAAGCAAATGAAAGATACATTAGTTGGTTTTTTACCAAGGAAGATAAAAATTACTATTTTTTTTTTTAAGCGTTTCACCCCAAGCAAGGTGGGAAGCCACTAGGTTACAAGGGGTTACAGAGAGTTGGAGTGAGAGCAAATAGGAGTGATAGAGAAAAGGCTGAAGAGAAGGATAGGGGATAGATCAAGGCACCTGGAGATGTCGATTGACATTACATTTGAATAGTTGGAGATTATAGCTATCAGGGAAACAGGAAAAGGGGAGGGAGTTCCACAGGCGATGTGCGAGATATGAAGCTATTGGAGTAGAAGAGACAGTCACATTTAACAGTTTCGACAGTGAAAGGGTGTGAGCGAGACACCAGCCTAGTAGAATGCTTAAATTCATGAAGTCTGGGAAACAGTGAAAGCAGCTCATCGGAGCAGTTACCGTGAAAGTATTCATAAGCTCTAGTTTCCAATACTTCTTTCAAAGTAGTCTTTTGTCTGTAGTGTACACACAAAGACTAGTGATAAAAGTCATTTCGCTGATAAAATTTCTTCGAAATTCTGGTAGCACCTCATATAGAGAGACAAGCAATGTATAAGAGAGATCTTAAAGAAAGAAAGCCAAAAGTGTGTAAGGAATTTACCTGTGGGTAATCCTTATAGGCATCGACTCGACTTAACATGGTAAGGACAAAGGCTGCAGTTTTCCCAGTTCCACTCTGTGATTGTGCGATCATATTCACTGGCCTAGCAGAAACAAAATAATTTATAAATGAGAAAACAACATCTGAAGACCAGAGGAATATAAGACAAAGTGTATGTGTGTGTGTGGGGGGGTGTCAATGAAAGAATTAATAAGAAAGGAAAAACAAAAAAAAAAAAAAAAAAAAACTTACGGATCTGCTAAAAGGGTAGGCAGAGCAGTTTCCTGGATTTTGGATGGAGCATTGAAGCCCATCGCGTACACACCTTTCTGAAGTTCAGGTTTGCTGCAAAAATAAATATTTTAAATTAAAAACAGGTGAACAAATATTGAAAAAAAAAAAAAAAAAAAAAAAAAAAAAGTAAAAAGAAAGTGTTTTATTGAGTTTTTTTGTTTTTTTTTTAACTATATAATCACTATGTTCATGGCAAAAATGATTAATAAAAAAAAAAAAAAAAAAAAAAAAAGCATTAAACCAAATATGCTATGGAAAAACAGCATTGGAAAAAGTATACCAATAAATCCAGAGCCTGCCAATGAAAAAAAAATAATTTGTAAAGTTACCCTATGCTGAGTAAGAAGGTTGGCTTATTCAATGTTGAAATATGAGCCACCTAGTGAGGATCAAACTCACTATTCAGTAGTAATGGTCAACCAGACTAGCCTTGCTAATCATTACCCATAAGCTCAGTAAAATTGTTGGCTTATTTAATATCGACATTTGTATAAGGCACCTAGTGAGGATTAAACTCACTATTCAGTAGTAAAGGTCAACCAGACTAGCCTTGCTAATCATTACTCGTATGCTGAGTAAGATTGTTGGCTTATTTAATGTCGACATTTGTATGAGGCACCTAGTGTTTTTGTTTAAGTTTAAAGAAAGTTAACAGTAGGTGATGGTGTGTAGCCATGTAGACTAGGTTACATCTGTCATTCATGTACATTTCTGTCTTCAATTTTTAACATGTGTAGTAGTGAGTTAACGGAGAAGTGTTCCACTTAACAGTAACAAGATATTCATGTTGTGATCTAGCAGATATGATTTTTACATACAGCTGCATGAATGGCAATGGACACAAGGCTGTATCAGATTACGTTTCCAGACCGAAGACAGCCGAGTCATCCAAACTTTGCTGCTACTTATGATCACATTGCTGAGACTGGTTTCGTGGCACCCACAAACTATGGATAGAGAAAGAGAGATCTACTCATACACCTGACCACAAAGAATACATTCTACTTTAGGCTAGCGGAGACGATCCAAGTATCAGCACACGTCAAGTGGCCCTTGTATGTCGTACATCTCATAGTACCAGATGGAAAGTACTTCAAAAGCAGTTTCTGTATCATTTGCAATGTGTGCAGGGTCTTTTGCCTTTTCATCACTCACCATGGAAGAATTTTTGCTGATGGTTTATTGCACAAACTGCCAATCCATTGTTTCTCTATTCAGTCTTGTTTATGGATGAGGCAACATTTGGAAAAGACTGAATAACAAATTTACACAACTAATATTTGTGGGTGAATCAGAATCCCTGTGGTACAATACAGGTTAGACACCAGCATAAGTTTATGATTAATGTGCGAGCTTGTACGTGTTTTGGCCTAAGGAACCTGCTCCCAAGGTTTCTAAAAGTATTTTTTATACACCCTGTATATATATTTTTAATTATTTCACCCCCCAAAAAGCCACTAAGATACAAGGGGTTACTTTACCGAGAGAGGGCAATCAAAGAACAGGATTCAAGGAGACAGAAGATGTCAACTGATGCTTAATTTAAATTTTTGAAGATCATAATTGATAAGGCAGGAAACCAGAAGCAAATACCACAAATGAGAAGAGCAAGAGAAGAAACAATTTGCATACAATTGACTGATTTGTTTTGATGGCTTATCAACCCTTTTCAGGTTATTTAAAGCCAGAAAATATTTTTTAGATTGTAAGAATTTTTTTTTTGAAATAATGTTTTAGTGATATAAGTCTTACTAATTAACCCATAGCTAGGGGGAAGAAGAGGTGGCTTCACAACTTTCCCAGTGGTAGTTGTGCATAAGTGAATATTATGAACCCAACAGGAATTGGAACTTGGCTCTCCAACTAACAATTCCAAGCCATTATCTATTATACCACCTGCACATCCAAGCTTATAGCATCTGGTATTTCCAAGCAGTCACCCATTTAGGTACAGACCAGACCCAACGTTGCTTAACTTTGGTGATTGTATAGGAACCAGTGTTTCAATGTGATGTTGTCATAAGGCATAAAACTTATGGGTACATCTAGCAATTTCGACAGTGAAATTTATGAGACCTAGTTGCCAATCTAGTACTGTGCTTAAATTCTTGTAGTCAAGGTACCAAAATGGAAAGTGCTTATCAGAAAAATAGACATGAAAATATTTATAGAATATTCCAAACTTCCTTTCATAATTTATTTCTACATTTTTTTTTTCTGAAATAAAAAATTCTTTAGAAAATAAAAAATAAATAAACATAAACCAATTAACCAAAATAAATTACTAACAGGTTGAGGGCTTCAAATGTTTTGACGGAGTAGAGTGGGGACCTGGGATCTTTTCTTAAAATTTCAATATTCGTCTGGGTGCTCACTAATTTGGAACGGAGAATCTTTCGGAGAAGAGATGCATCTTCTTTTGAAGCCTCTGGAAAAGAAAAAAAAAAAAAAAAAAAGTACTGGTTAACAAGTCATATATTTTAAAGAAAAATTTTATTTTTTTTGCATTCTTTTTATAGATAGAAATTGTTAAACTGATGATAAATCTTTTACTTCAGCACTAGAATAAATACAGCATCTCTTGAGGACATTACAGCGCTTTACATCTATTTCTTCAATATCTTAATTACCATGATTTTTATTTTTTTTTTTACTATTGTCAACCCAGTACAAGGTCTAAGTGCCACTCAAGGTAGAGAATTACTGAATGGGGCTGTTGTAAGGATATACAAGAATTGCATATTATGAGAATATGTAGATGTATTTAACAGTTGATACTTGACTTGAAGAGGTTAAAATTGTAGTGATCAGGGAAGCATCCCCTCGGGAGTTTGTCTTACATTGTCTCATTTCTGGAGAAGTTGAGTGGAACTTCCTCTTTATCAATGGAATGAGGAGGAGGAGGAGGAGGCGACTCAGTGTACATGGCATTGTAGGTACTAGCTATGAAGGTGGGGACTGGTTGGAAACAAGTAATGTAGTTTGCCTAGACATTTGCCCTGGAAATAGCAAGAGGCTAGCAATGTTTTATCTGTGGAAAGGGGTTGTAGGGTAGAAATTAATTCATCACCCACAAGGCTATACAAATGCTTTTGAGATTGGTTGAGGCCGGAAAGTGCAGATTGGGCAAGTCTGGCCTAGATGCAGCAGCAACTTTCTAGATTTGGTCTGATCTAGCTCTTGTAAAGTGAAAGCATGTCAAGAGGAGTCAGGTACCTTTTTGCAGTGGTAGACAAAGCCAATCATTTTCCAGCATATTTAGCAAGGGATCGTATGTACAAGTTGTACTTCAGGCCTGGTGTGGAAAAGAGAGTTGAGTGGACTAGTATTGCCTTTCCTTACACTGGCATTCACCCAAAGCAAGGGAATCTACTCTGCTATACAGATATATATATATATATATATATATATATATATAATGGAGGCATGGTGGAGTAGTGGATAGCAGCTCGGATTGAGGAATCTGGGAATTGAGTTCAAATTCCAGCCGAATCCATTACATTCACTTACATGCTAATACCCTTCAGCTAAAGATATTAATCCTGTTCTCTTATCTCCAGCTATGGGTAAATAGCGAGACTGGATTCTGTAGCCTTGGATGGCAACTAATCTAGAAGGACAACTCTGAATTCAAAACCCGTGGAGGGTCATTTGGGGACGTTGTGGCACATAGTGCACCAGGCCTCTGTATTCAGTCCTTCAAAAACTGTGGCTGGTTCTGCACAAACCTTCACCACTATAATCAAATCATATGTGCCTGAGTCAGGGCTCTCGGTTCCTAGAAACTGAGCTGCTTGTCCCTCATACGTCAAATATGACAGTAGAGTCCACCACACATATATATATATATATATATATATATATATATATTATTATTATTTCTTTCTTTTCCTACATTTCAAAAGAGAGGAGTTCAGTTTGCTTTGCAAATTCACCCCTCTACACAAGCAAAAAAGAAAAAAAAAAAGAAGAGGTAAGTAAAAAGTACGAAAGTTAAATTCACATTTGACAGCTGTTTGGAAATTAAAAATTTTCTATGTAAGCATTATTTTAACACAACAGGAAAAAGGTAAGTAAAAAAAAATCTGCTTTAAATAATATAAAATTTATTTTTATGTTAACTTTAAATTATTTGAAATTTTATAAGTAAAAATATGCTTTTGGAGGGGAGAGTAAGGAGGTCAATTTACATAGTAAACGAAACCCCTACCCTCACTCTTAAAATTTAGGGAATTAGAAAAATTTTATATTCATGATCTAAGATGCATCATTGTTATATAGGAATAAAGTGTCGTTGCCGACACTTGAGTTTGAACATAGATCGCCAGTGACCAAACACAAGCGATTCCATTATTGATTTAAGTAGACCATGTAACCATAGAGGAAACACAGGAAGAAAGAAAGATAAAATTAACTTTCTTAAACTCTTAAAAATGATTATTTCTTTGAAAGTTGATGTAGAACAGGGTTCAGCCACACGTGGCACACCAAGCAATTTCCAATGACAAGCAACTGCAAATGACATCGCAAAGTTCAAACCAATAACTACAACAGCACAAAGATATTTAGCGTTTTCAAAACTGCTCACTTGTTGGACTCCCATTAATAATAAAAACTTTAAAAAACAGTTTATTTCTATTTATGTGGTTTAGGTATATATTATTATTATATAAAATATATTGTAAAACAGGTATATTGACTTTGGCTCATATAAAAATACATATGCTGTTGGCACACTGAATGATTTTAAAACCCTAGGTTGACAATAGTCAGCAAAAGTTTGCCGACCCCTGTAGTGTATGGAAATATATACACAACAAAAGCCAAAACGATGTTGAGCCCTCCTTTACAAATGGGTTACTTACCAATATCATCTTCCTCGCCGTGAGCATCTTGTTCTGACTTACTAGGCTGCTGTGTGTCTACTTGCTGCTGCTGCTGCTGCTGTTGTTGCTGTTGATTGAGGAGGGCAGAGTTGTTCTCATTTTGTTTCAGGACACTAATTGAATTCTCATCTTTCTTCAGGGACAAGGCTCCAACCTAAAAGACAAATTAGAAAGACAAACAACTTTATAATCTTAGGTTTGATCAAATTTCGTGATAAAGCATTTTCATTAGTAATTTTAGTTCATCTTTTATCTTTTTAATACAGTCCTCAAGTTAAAACAATACCGTAATTCCCCATGTCTAATACGCCTTCATATGCACCACTAAAATTGTGCTAAAAGTGTGGGATAATGCTTTTATTCCCACATAATATGCACTCATTGTTTGGTAATCAAACCCTATAAATTGTACCGCTCCAATTTCATTACAGCCAGCGTTTCCTACTCTTATTTAAAAAAAAAAAAAAAAATGGTTTTAAACATAGAAAAATATTATTCTAATTTAGTTTTATGATAATTCTTATTTTATTTTAAATTTGTAAGCATTGTTAGGTACATGTGATTGTATTTGACATCCTAATGGGGTCACAATTGCCGAATGTTAGTATCAAATTGACATATGTTCGTGGTGAGTAGTCATTTTGTAACTGAAATCGACCAATGAAACAGCAATTTTTTAAAGACGTTTTTGTAACTGTGCATAATACGCACCCCTAAATTTGATTATTATTATTTTTTTTAAAATGCGTATTATACATGAGGAATTACAGTATTTCTTTTATTCTTAACTCTATCCATCTCACATCTCCTCTTAGACTCTGAAATTTTATTTACTATTTATTCATTTTTTTTTCTCCAATAGGAGTAGATAGGTGAATCTATTGCTCAGTTTATACTCCTTTCAAGTCTTTGGAATAGGAGTAGAGGTTTATCTCTTCTTTCCTGTTTAGGATTGGGTTTCCAGCTCCTTCTAAAATCTACTTCAACTCTATACTTCTAATGTCACTGCCTAAACTCTGAAACTTTATTTAATATCCCCCCACTCAATAAGAGCATCATATATATTAATCTACAAGCTGACTTCTATAATGTAACCCCTCCAGAAAAAAAAATTACCTGTGTATAGTGAAACTACCTTCTTTTTTTTTTTTTTTGTAAAAACTGATCAAAAACCCTCGTACTTTACTCAAGTATATAGAGTAGATGGCTTCACCTGTTGTTCATTTCACTCCCTGCAGAACTCTTTGCAGCAGGAGTAATACATAATATATATATATATATATATATACATACATACATACGTACACACACATATCTTCGTCGGCATCTGTTCGTCTTAAGAGACGATGGAGTAGTATGGTGTGTTACAAACCTCGGTGGGATATATGGAGAACCAGCTCTGCCCAGACGTCTAGTTCCCCCCCTCTTGGCCTTGCTAGCAGAGTCCAAAGGAGAGGGTAAACCAATACAGTTTGGTACCAGCACGACTGCAGGAGTTGCCAGAAGGTTGCACAAAGTGCTGTCCATCCGCCTTAGGGGCTCCACTCCAGGTTTGAATTCAGAGTTGTCCTTCTCCTAGACCAGTTGCCATCCAAGGCTATAGAACCCAGTCTGTCCTGCTAATTACCCATAGCTGGAGGGAGAAGAAGAGGATTCACAACTTTTCCAAGGGTAGGACGTAAGTGAATGTAATGGATTCGACTGGAATTCGAACTCAGCTCTCCGATTCCTCAATCCAAGTCACTATCCATTACTCCAGTGCCTCCTACACACATAAATAGGGTATTATAAAATAACTTAACTTTTTATTCCTTGTTCCCTGCTTAGGATTGGGTTTCTGGTTCCTTCTAAAATATTTTTCCATTCTCTTTCACTCCCATTATCACCTTGCTTGGGGTGAATCGATTAAAAATTATATATATGTGATATTACAAAATAACTTTTATTATTTAGTAGCCCCTCAGATCTTAGTGGGATTATAGCCTTCCTTGTTGTAAATTGATTAAAAAAAAAAAAATACAAAACATTGTCAACCATTATTAAATAGAATTTTTTACAACTTTGCTGACACATGTGGAAATCCTCACAGTATTTGGCATTGTTGAAGTTATCATTAACATTTTTTGTTGAGATTTACAAACCCTACATTTTGTTCAATTTCGCAAACCAATCAATGAAATATAAAAACTGAAATATATGTAAGAAAAAAAAAACATTGCATTTTTATTAAATAAGTATTTATTTTAATCATTAAATTGTTTTTAAATTATTGGGATTATTATGTATGTTGATTAATAAAACTTTTAAATTTTCCTAAAAAATTAATGATAATTCATTGTGGCTGCATACCATGTGTCATGGTTGGAAAAAATATGATAATCAAGATGGATACTGTGGACTTCAATAGACCATTGTTGCTAAGTAAATCCTCAATGCAACGAAGTATCGTGATTGAGAAAAATATAGTGAAAGGTGCTTGGGAGAATTCTTGAACCAAATACGTCCAGTCAAAGACATCACAAGATCCCTATTTTTAGGTCACCTAGTACAGAGAGTACTTTTAGTTGGAAAAAAAATATAGATAAGCAGAAAATTGCACTCAAATTGCATAGGCAACATCCTTCGTACAAAAAATTCATCCCACCAGCTGCCTAACATATTGACTAAGAGGGGTGTATCTCCAGATGCCCTGATGGATGCCTTATAATTGGTTGGCACCTCAAGAAACTAAAGTGGGAGATTGTTGAGGTAATTGAGTTATCTCCCCATGACCAATTGCATAGTTGGAGAAGAGAAAGATTGAGAATGGTAGTGCTAGTAGCAGATAATCCACATAGCAGTAGTATTAGTATTAGCCAATGAAAATCCACTTTGGCAGGAGCTGGCTATGTAAGCTCAGTGTTTAGAAGACCTCGAGGCTGAAAACCTGGATAGATGAATCTATGCTAGAGGAAATTAACAATTGTACTAAGTGATGTACCCTAGTACAACCAACTGTACTTTGCACTCCACTTACCTGTTTGTACTTCTCCCCAAAATTTGGTTTTGATCAATCAATGTATAGCTATTTAGAGGGTGTGACAAACAGACTAAAAGAATTCTATATATAGATTCTGACTTGTTTTTTTCTTTATTTTCCTTTTTCTCTTAATTATTTTTCATTGTAAATTGGCAAAGGCTTACAAGAGAGTATATTGTTGACTTACTTCTGTTGACTATGTGACACAATGGGAACCCAGTTGTGGTCATAAAAGTGGACAGGAAACGATTTTTTCATAGTATGAAGTATCTGGTAATTTTATGATCAGAAGTCTAGGAAGTTAAGCTCTTCAAAGTGGCCACCCATTGACTTACAGCATCTAGCATTCCCTAGTGGTCACCCATCTAGGTACTGACCAAGCTCAACATTGCTTAACTTCGGTGATCATACAAGAACCAGCATTTCAACGTGGTATGACCACAAGCCAAGAATACATGAAAGTACCCCAAACATTAGAAGATTTAAAGAAACCTGAAACGAAATAAATAATCTAAAATATATTTAAGTTGCAAGAATTTGAGGGAGATTTTGGTTTACTGATACAAGTGTTTCTACATTATATGGCCATAAACCTCTAGGAAGTAAAATCGTCAAAGTGGACACCCATTGGCCAAAATAGACAAGTAAATTTTGGGAATGAGTGTCACGTGGCTAGAAGATGGAAAGTGCCATCAACAGGCTTGCAAAACCAGCCAAATTTACAATTGAAGGTAGTACTTCTGACACAGCCCTTTAGAGGATTACAGGTCATTCATTGAGCGAGTCCGGGCAGCCTGTCAGAAAAGCATTTCTGGCTACACATCATGATATCGAGAAGAGTAGAGGAGTGATAGGAGATTAAGGGACAATCTCATCTTAGTTAAGGAAAGGTAATATTAGCACAAAAAGCCATCTGGTGATCTTTAAGCTGACAGCTCAAAAGTACCTGTTACGAAAACACAAAAATAAGTAGGACAGATAAGATTTGGTCTGTAACCAAAACTAGAGAATACAGTGGTTGGAATGCAATGACCCTGACATGGTCGGGAGGGGGGGGGGTTGAATGGCTGACTGGAGAAGCATCTGGTAAAAATCTGATTTTGGACAAGACAAGGATGGAAAACTTTGTGGAAGCAAAATTTGAAATAAATTTTTTTTTTAATTAATGATCATAAGTTAACCCACACCAAACGGTCACAAGTTAGATTGGCCGAAGGGTAGCCAAGGTGGCAGGTGCGGGTGAAATACCAAGGAAGATGGAGGAATTGCCCACGCCCATTGGGAAGTATTGGTGTGAGATGTAAATAAGAGAAGGAAGTAGTTATCAGGGTGGATCAATACCTGTGACGGCTACCCATAGAAAAAGATATCCCTGATTTTGGAGATGCATTTCCCAGAGGCAGACAATAAAAAGGCACTTGTTGAAAGATAAGGGAATCACCGAATTTCCGGTGTCATACTTCACGTCAGTTTTTTTTGAATGTCAATAAATGCAAGGAATCGAAGTGGCTGAGAATAGTTATTGCAGACATTGAGAAGAGACTACTGTGTTGCCTGCTGAAGAGAACCTCCGACATAAGCCTTGTGCCAGACTTAACTAAAACTGCCAAAATGTCACATTCAACTTAAGCAGCTTGGGTTGATAATTTTCTGCATGAAAAATTGATAAATTCTAATGTCAAGACTAACTAAGCACTATACAAAAGAACGTATATAAAAGCATTTATTTTTATTCAAGTTATTTTTTTTTTTTTATTTGCGTCTTTACTCTGACTGGACCAACTCAATATGATGATTCCCAACGACAATTCAATCTTTGCTAGCCTTATGGTCAAATCTAGACACAACGTAGGATAAGGCAGGGTTTGGATCAAAGCAATAAGTTCAGTGATCAGCCACGTGAGTTGGACATTTGGCCGGCCACCCAAGGAGGAGGCAACAACAGGACAAGATCAGTAGTATGCCATTATTAATGACATAAGCGGTTTCAAACTTGACATTTGTAAATAAGAACCATTAATGGGGCAAGATAGTTTGGAAACAGTTTAAGATCTTTTTAATGACTTAATTTCTTTACAAGATATAAACACCAGGAAAAACACATCAGTAAAGTCTATATTTGATGAAGGTTGGAAAACACTGGCTGAGACAGCAATCAAAACTTTCAGTTGGTGTTGTTAAAATGAGGATACAAATCAATAATTTATGGGGTGACAATAAGACCACTTTGGAACTCTGAATGTGATGAAGGTGACACTACTTCTTAAATTAGCTGAATTTTTTTTTTTTTAACAATTTTTGTTAGATTAACATTGATTAGACCTTCCTCATGGCATGATATTGGTCAGAATCAAAAACTATTCATTTTTTATCATTTTAGAAGAGGGTTCTGTTCATAACATAAATACAATGTCAAATTGATCTCTCACTTCTTTTGCCCTCTGCATTATTAATATTACTTCCCTTTCAACTATATTCTTTTTTTAACGTCTCTCAATTGCATTTTAGAAGAGGGTTCTGTTCATAACATAAATAGAGTGTTAAATTGATCTCTGACTTCTTTGCCTTCAGCATTATTATTATTACTTCCCTTTCCACTGTATTCTTTTCTAAGGCCTTTCAATTGCATTTTAGAAGAGGGTTCTGTTCATAACATAAATACAGTGTCCAATTGATCTCTCACTTCTTTTTTGCCTCTGCATTATTAATATTACCCCTTTCCACTGTATTCTTTTTTAAGGCCTCTCAATTGCATTTTAGAAGAGGGTTCTGTTCAAAACATAAATACAGTGTCAAATTGATCTCTCAATCTGTATTATTAATATTACTTCCCTTCCACTATATTTTTTTTAAGGCCTCTCAATTGCATTTTTAGAAGGGGCTCTGTTCATAACATAAATACAGTGTCAAATTGATTATTAATATTAATTCCCTTTCCACTGGATTCTTTTGCATTCTGGTCATATTATTAATATTCCCTTTCCACTGGATTCTTTTACCTCTCAATTGCATTTTAGAAGAGGGTTCCACTGTCCAATTGATCTCTTTTTTTGCCTCTGCATTATTAATATTACCCCTTTCCACTGTATTCAATTGCATTTTAGAAGAGGGTTCTGTTCAAAACATAAATACAGTGTCCAATTGATCTCTGACTTCTTTTTTGCCCTCTGCATTATTAATATTACTTCCCTTTCCACTGTATTCTTTTTTAAGGCCTCTCAATTGCATTTTAGAAGAGGGTTCTGTTCAAAACATAAATACAGTGTCCAATTGATCTCTTGACTTCTTTTTGCCCTCTGCATTATTAATATTACTTCCTTTCCACTGTATTCTTTTAAGGGCCTCTCAATTGCATTTTAGAAGAGGGTTCTGTTCAAATAAATAAAAATTGATCTCTGACTGTCCATTATTAATATTACTTCCTTTCCACTGTATTCTTTTTTAAGGCCTCTCAATTGCATTTTAGAAGAGGGTTCTGTTCATGCAAATTGATCTCTGACTTCTTTTTGCCTCTGCATTATTATAATATTACTTCCCTTTCCACTGTATTCTTTTTAAGGCCTCTCAATTGCATTTTAGAAGAGGTTCTGTTCATAACATAAATACAGTTCAAATTGATCTCTGGCTTCTTTTGCCCTCTGCATTATTAATACAGTGTCCAATTGATCTGTTCTAAATACAGTGTCCAATTGATCTCTTTCTTTTTGCCCTCTGCATTATTAATATTACTTCCCTTTCCACTGTATTCTTTTTTTAAGGCCTCTCAATTGCATTTTAGAAGAGGGTTCTGTTCATAACATAAATACAGTGTCCAATTGATCTCTCACTTCTTTTTGCCCTCTGCATTATTAATATTACTTCCCTTTCCACTGGATTCTTTTTTTAAGGCCTCTCAATTGCATTTTAGAAGAGGGTTCTGTTCATAACATAAATACAGTGTCCAATTGATCTCTCACTTCTTTTGCCCTCTGCATTAAATATTACACTGTATTCTTTTTTTTAAGGCCTCAAATTTTAGAATTCTGTTCATAACATAAATACAGTGTCCAATTGATCTCCTTCTTTTCCCTCTGTATTAATATTACTTCCCTTTCCACTGGATTCTTTTTTAAGGCCTCTCAATTGCATTTTAGAAGAGGGTTCTGTTCATAACATAAATACAGTGTCAAATTGATCTCTCACTTCTTTTTTTGCCCTCTGCATTATTAATTATTACTTCCCTTTCCACTGTATTCTTTTTTAAGGCCTCTCAATTGCATTTTAGAAGAGGGTTCTGTTCATAACATAAATACAGTGTCCAATTGATCTCTCTGGCTTCTTTTTGCCCTCTGCATTATTAATATTACTTCCTTTCCACTGTATTCTTTTTTTTTTAAGGCCTCTCAATTGCATTTTAGAAGAGGGTTCTGTTCATAACATAAATACAGTGTCCAATTGATCTCTGGCTTCTTTTCTCCTCTGCATTATTAATATTACTTCCCTTTCCACTGTATTCTTTTTTAAGGCCTCTCAATTGCATTTTAGAAGAGGGTTCTGGTCATAACATAAATACAGTGTCCAATTGATCTCTCACTTCTTTTCTCCTCTGCATTATTAATATTTTAGAAGAGGGGTTTCTGTACTTCCCTTTCCATTATTAATGTATTCTTTTTTTTTTAAGGCCTCTCAATTGCATTTTAGAAGAGGGTTCTGGTCATAACATAAATACAGTGTCCAATTGATCTCTCACTTCTTTTGCCCTCTGTATTATTAATATTACTTCCCTTTCCACTGTATTCTTTTTTAAGGCCTCTCAATTGCATTTTAGAAGAGGGTTCTGTTCAAAACATAAATACAGTGTCCAATTGATTATTATTACTCTTTCCACTTCTTTTTAAGGCCCTCTGCATTATTAATAACATAAATACAGTGTCCCTTTCCACTGGATTCTTTTTCCACTGTATTCTTTTTAGGCCTCTCAATTGCATTTTTAGAAGAGGGTTCTGTTCATAACATAAATACAGTGTCCAATTGATCTCTCTCTTCTTTTCTCCTCTGCATTATTAATATTACTTCCCTTTCCACTGTATTCTTTTTTAAGGCCTCTCAATTGCATTTTAGAAGAGGGTTCTGTTCATAACATAAATACAGTGTCCAATTGATCTCTCACTTCTTTTCTCCTCTGCATTATTAATATTACTTCCCTTTCCACTGTATTCTTTTTTTTTTTTAAGGCCTCTCAATTGCATTTTAGAAGAGGGTTCTGTTCATAACATAAATACAGTGTCCAATTGATCTCTCTTCTTTTTTTCTCCTCTGCATTATTAATATTACTTCCCTTTCCACTGTATTCTTTTTTTAAGGCCTCTCAATTGCATTTTAGAAGAGGGTTCTGTTCATAACATAAATACAGTGTCCAATTGATCTCTCACTTCTTTTCTCCTCTGCATTATTAATATTACTTC